ATCTATCTATCTATCTATCTATCTATCTATCTATCTATCTATCTGTCATCTATCTATCTATCTATCTATCTATCTATCTATCTATCTATCTATCTATCTATCTATCTATCTATCTATCTATCTATCTATCTATCTATCCTTCCATCCATCCATCCATCCAATCATTCATCCATCCATCCATCAGGCCAGCCAGCCATCAATCTATCCATCCAGCCATCTGTCCATCCATCCATCCATCCAGCCATCCATCTATCTATCCATCCTTCCATCCATCCAGTCATCCATCCATTCATCCATCCATCCATCCATCAGGCCAGCCAGCCATCAGTCTATCCATCCAGCCATCTGTCCATCCATCCATCCTTCCATCCATACATTCACCCATCCATCCAGCCAGCCTCCCATCCATTCATTCGTTCATTTGTTCATTTATTCATCCATCCATCCATCCATCCATCCATCCATCCATCCATCTATCCATCCTTCCATCCATACATTCACCCATCCATGCTGCCAGCCTCCCATCCATCCATCCATCATCCATCCATCTATCATTCATTCATCCATCCATCCATCTATCCATCCTCCATCCATCCATCTATCATTCCATCCATTCATCCATCCATCTATCCATTCATTCATTCAGCCATCCATCCAGCTATTCATTCATTCATTCAGCCAGCCATTTATTTATTTATTTTCTTCCACGTATCCTCGGTCATGTAGCAGAAGAAACTGGTCAAGGAGGAAAACCCAAACAACCCCCGCTCCAACAGTCTCCAGCTCCCCTGAGCGATCCTAAGCCAGAGGTTATTTGATCGCTGACATGACCAGAAAACCTTCAGAGGGAGGCCTCTTGGCAACACAACGGGATGCCTGAACCACGTCAGGTTACCTGGCTCAGAATAGGGTTAGCAGGACATGTCCCAGAGCCAGGACTGAAGGTGGGGGTGACTCACTAGTGACTAGCACCACCTGCAGGGAAAGTAGTTTTGGTTTGGTGCTATGTGAGCTGGTGGCAGGTGAGGACTAGACCCCTGGGCTGCTGAGTCTTAACATCATAAAGCAGCAGTTTAGAATCATATCTGATCCTGACTGGCTGGAGGTGACTGCTTAGTTTGAATGAAATGAACTGAATTATATTAATTTGGGGAAAAAAGCATATTTTTTAAACAGTGCATTGCAGTGACTTATGTTGTGAATGGGTGACTTGAAAATAAATTGACATAAATAATCACCTACATAGCCAAACTATTTATTCACCTTAGAGTCCTCAAACGTCAGATGTGAGAGAGGAGCTATAATATTTATTAGATACTTCAAGTAATAGGGCAAAAGTTTATTAAAATAAAAGTTTAAATGAAGCATGATGACAAACGTAACAAAAAACTGCAAAATGCTGAAAGGTCAGCTGATTTGTGGTCGATTTTTGTCAGCAGACCAACCACAGCTGGCCGTAAATGTCAAGTGTTGCTGCTTTTATCTGATATTTGTGCAGCGTAATCCTCTGGGAGCTCAGAGAGTTCTCACACTGACTGAGAATGCTGTGAGTTTCAGTTTATTCCTGAGGAGAATGGAGGTCCTCACCTAAACCCTTCAACACATGTATGTCATAGCCATTTCCTCAATATTTGCCAATTTTGTGTTTTTGAAGTTCATTTGACTGTGGCAGCCATCATGTGTGTGGTAGACTCTAAAAGTGAATAAGTTGTAGATGTACATATAAAGTTAACTTCTTGCAGGTTTAATTAAACTTTGTCCAGTGGTTCATGAGATATTTTACTAACAGAAAGACACACTGAAACATGCACACACAAAAATGGGCAAAAACAATATTGCCTTTTAGTTTTGGGTAATAAATACCAATTGCCATACCAATTTATTTCTAACGCATTTAAAATACAACATAGCAGCCGTCCGAAGTGCTGTACAAAAATAAAAACAAAGAAAAACACAACAGTAAAACAATAAAACAACTATATATATATATATATATATATATATATATATATATATATATATAT